GTGTCTAAGTGGTGTAGCAGGTTGCTAACCATTTCCCCTTGGATTATGGGGGCTTCATTCTGCTCCCTGTCCCTGTCTCCCAGCTCAGGGGGCTGGGTACCCAGAAAACAACCAGTCTTACTATTAAAGACTGAGGCAAAGAAGGCGTTAACTACCTCAGCCTTTTCCTTACCCTTTGTCACCATGTTTCCCCCCGCATCCAATAAAGGATGGAGATTCTCCTTAGCCCTCCTTTTGTTGTTAATGTATTTGTAGAAACATTTTTTATTGTCTTTTACAGCAGTAGCCAGATTAAGTTCTAGTTGGGCTTTGGCCCTTCTAATTTTCTCCCTGCATAACCTCACGACATCCTTGTAGTCCTCCTGAGTGGCCTGCCCCTTCTTCCAAAGGTCATAAACTCTCTTTTTTCTCCTGAGCTCCAGCCAAAGCTCTCTGTTCAGCCAGGCCCGTCTTCTTCCCCGCCGGCTCGTCTTTCAGCACATGGGGACGGCCTGCTCCTGCGCCTTGAAGATTTCCTACTTGAAGAATGTCCAGCCTTCCTGGACTCCTTTGCCCTTCAGGACTGCCTCCCAAGGGATTCTGCCAACCAGGCTCCTAAACAAGCTAAAGTCTGCCCTCAGGAAGCCCGAGGGAGCAGTTCTGCTGAGCCCCTTCCTTACTTCTCTGAAAATCAAACTCTATCATTTCGTGATCGCTATGCCCAAGATGGCCTCCAACCGTCACATCACCCACAAGTCATTCTCCATTCACAAACAACAGGTCCAGCGGGGCACCTTCCCTTGTTGGCTCCCTCACCAGCTGTCGGGAAGCTATCTTCCACACACTCCAGGAACCTCCTAGACTGTTTCCTCTCCGCTGCATTGTATTTCCAGCAGACATCTGGTAAGTTGAAGTCCCCCATGAGAACAAGGGCTAGCGATTGAGAGACTTCTCCCAGCTGCTTATAGAATATTTCGTCTGCCTCTTCATCCTGGTTGGGTGGTCTGTAACAGACTCCTACCATGATATCTGCCTTGTTGGCCTTTCCCCCAATTCTTACCCATAAACACTCGACCCTTTCATCACCATCATCAAGCTCTAGACGGTCAAAACAGTCCCAGCTGCTGGTGTTGGAAGGGGCCTCTCCAACGACCCCGGTCACACAAACCTGCTCATTTCAGCATGTCCATGGGCAGATTGCTTCGTTAAACACGAACCTGATCTAAGAGCGTCTCCTCTGAGTGAGCATACGAGCTGGGAAGCTCTGCCTCCTCCCCCGGCAAACCTCTCCAGGGCAAGAGATGCCCCCCCAGGACATCCCTCGATGCTCAGGGTCTGCTTAATGTCATCCCATGCAAAAGTCCTTTGGAGTACACGGCATTAGCTCAGCACGGAGGGACGCGGGGGTGCGCTCCACAGTTCTGTACGTGCCCAGCATATTTATATATTTATATATATAAATAAATACCGGCGTATTTACACACTGCTTGGTACCGGTGCAACATCCATCTGCATCCTTGCGACGAATGGTACAACTGCTGTTTTGGGTCATTTACATTGAGTATCTGATCTCAACTCGTAAAATAAGCCAGCTAATGAAGTCTTCTCCAGACATCCATTAAGAGTCTATAATGCTAATTTTATGTAAAAATCCAATAAGTTTCCTCATTGAATTAACATTACAGACCTGTAGCGGACTTTTACATCTGCTCTGGTGGTGGCAGGAACGCTCCAGGCATCCCCCTGGGGAGCGGTGCACCAGGAAAGCAAAGCGAGGTGAGGCTGAGTATGGCCCTCTGCTCCCCGGCTTCTGTCCCCTCTCCCCCGGGTGACAGGACACCTCCCCTCCAGTTCAGCAGATCTGCACATCCCATCACACCGTAAAACCCACGGGACAGCCGCTTTGCAACAGGCTGATTTACAAAGCAGCGTTCACAAGCCACCAGTGTCCTTGGAAGATGAACGTGGGAAATCCCCTGTGCCTCGGTTTCCCCGTTGTAAAAGGAGGATAAAAATCAGTTCTTTATAACAAGGTTATATTTGTCATTAACCTTGTATCTCCCTGGGGCATCCACAAAGATTACGGTACAGTAGAGCAATGCCAATGCAATGCCAACGCAAGGAAGCCAGGCTGGTTTGCTGCTGCCATGTGTCTTTGGCTCCAGCTGGCCAGCCCTGTGCTTACAGGAGATAAATCCTTGGTGCTGCAGCCAGTCCCGTCTCCCCTTGCAGAGGAGAGGGAGCTGAGCGAGCAAGGCAGGGGCTGCAGCACTTCCAAGGTGGTAGGGACAGAGCAGAACAGGGCCACCTGCGGGGCCGGCACAGTCCCCGGGGCGGCAGCACTCACCCAGGCAGAGTTGGACTGGTTGAGCTGGTTGAGCATGACAATGGAGGTGCAGCCGTAGTCATACACCAACCGCCAGAAGTCGGTGGTGGTGTTCTGCAGCGGGTGCAGGGTGACGATGAAGGCAGCGCTCTTGGTGTAGCTCTGCAGAGGGAAGATGAGCACCGTTAAGGACATGGCAGCAGCACTGAAGCCGCTGCTGTCACACCCCGAAAAAACAGTGCAACCAGAAGATGAGTGCCACCAAAGCCATCTTCTCTATGGTTGAGCAGAGCTGGCCCTCCTGGCACAGCCTTGGTCCCTCCATGCCCTGGGGCGATGCTATAAAAACAGGTCTAAGTGATCCCTGCCCTTCGTGGGGATGAAAGCACCCGCTTTCTGCTCTCGGCTCTTGCAGGAAAGGGTGTTTTGCACAAATAACTAGGGAAAAGATGTCACCTTTGAGCCAAGCAGAAGCCGTGGCTGCCAGATGGCCCCAGCCCTCAGCTCTGCACCCTGATCCTGAGTGAAAGCATCACCCACGGCATCGCCCCCACAGTGCCCCAACACCTCCGGGCACCGAGAGCAGCAAAGAGACAACAGGGTCAATGGTCTTTTCAGGGAGGAAAGAAAACCCACATGAAAGACCTCTAGAGACTGCAAGAAGGAAGGGGGGGGAAAAAACCGACTGTACTTCTCGTTTGTGCTTTGAACAAGATTTGTCCCCTTGGTCATCCCGATGCCGGCTTGCCGGGGGATGGGGAGCCCATGGCCAGGCTCAGCGCTGCACCAATCAGACTTTTAAATTAACACACTTTAGCTCAAGCCTCTTCAGATACAGGAACAGAGCAGAAAATTCACAACCCCGCAAATTAGCACAGCTCTCCGTTAACAGAGTCCTCTGGCTGCTGCAAAACCTCCTCATTTAGCTCATGGAAATGCCCTTATCAAACCTTTCCTCCTGCCCTGTCCGTGGGGCGGCAGCGAGACCCCCACTCTCCACCCTCGAGGAGGGCGATGAGAGCAGCAGGGCGAGGGGGATTTCATCAAGTGTTGACCAGGCTTGCCTTGGCACCCGCAGCCCTTTGGCACCGGTATAAATGTCGGCAGCCAGCGCACAGCAGAGCGCAGCTCTGCCAGCCTGCCACCAGCACCGGCGCCGCCACAGCGCTCAGCACCGGTGATGGGCAGCACAGGCCAATCTCATCTGACAGACGGACGGACTGAGCAAACCGCTTTGGCACTTAAAGAAAATGAGCTGCTTTTTCCCCTCTCCCCCCCCCAAAGAGGGAAATGGGTTTTATCCCTCCAGCGAGAATTTCATCTAAAGGGCTTTTTCTGTCTGTAAAGAAATTTCTATTCTCTGACCCTGTAGCAGAGATTAAGGGAGGCTCAGTGGTGTATAAAAATAAAATGGATATGCAAACACCAAGCAGGCTGAAAACAAAGCTCCCATCCCACGGTAGCCAAAGCCCACAGCCCAATGGGTGCCGCTCCCCAGCCACCACCTCCGCTTGACAAACTGCTTTTTGCTGCGAGAGCAGGTAACAGGGAGACGAGATCTGCACAAAGATAAATCACTGATGGCGTGAAAAAAACAGGGCTCAGCCTGGTGCTGGTGCTCAGCTGTGACCGGGAGGGTTCGGGGAAGGTGCCCAGGATGCGGTGGGGATCAGCGCTGCCCGTGCAAAGCACCCCAGCTTGTTTCAAGGAGAGGAAAGTGGTTTCGGTGACAAATGACCCGTCGCTCGGTGTGGGCTTGCAGCCTGCAGCATCCTCTGCTCTGCTTAGCGGTCATCAGCAGGTAGGAAATAGCTTTGCCATCACGGGTGTCCTTTCTGACTGCACCGGGGGGATGCACGGTGGCTTTGGGAGCAGTTCAGAGCCCCCTGAATTGCACCGGGAGGATGGGCAGGAGGATGCAAGGCAGGGTGCTGGCAGCACACAGCGGGGGCTCAGTGCTACCAACCCCTCCCAGAGCTTCCTCTCCCTCCTGCGCTCCATTTTGCTATGAAATAAACGAAAACCCTTTGTGTGCAGCTTGTGAGAGCAGCCGAAAAGCTCTTTCAAGACAAGGAAGATGCTGCTACACAGAAGAAGGGTTGAAGGACCCCGCTACACCAGTCCTAGCCCCTCCTCCCCCCACACACAGCTGCCACGTGCCTTCGTGCCCTTGTGCAAAACGAGGCCATAAATTCAAACCGAGCAAGGTTTTGCCATGAAAAGCTGCCCAAGACCAACCCAAACCGGCCCCTTCCCTCCCTGCAGCACGCTCACATCAGTTAAGGCCGCGTTGATGTAGTTGTTGCTGTCTCCGTCCACGGAGATGAGGAAGGGAAGGCATCGGTCGGGCGGCAGGACGTCCATGCTGCGGTTCCTCTCCCGGTTGCGGGGCAGGAGGGCGATGCTGCACTCCTCCACATCCAGGTGGGGAGTCACCGAGTTCAGGGTCTGCGAGTACACGTGCTCCCCTTAGCTCCCTTCCTGCCTGCACCGGGGCCAAAACCCCTGCCTGCTGCTCGTCAGAGCCTGCTGGTCCCAGCGATGGTGGGCACCAGGAGGGTGAGGAGCAAGGGGGCGTTGCAGGGGGGGGTGCAGGGGTTTTGGGGCCGCTCACCTGGAACTCCTCCCGCAGCTGCGAGGAGTTGCTCTGCGGTTCTATCCTCACCATCTCCTTGTAGGTGGGCTTGAACTCGCTGGCGGGGATGCTGGTCTCCCCGCACAGGCAGGCTTCCAGGATGGCGTCGTGAATGAAGACATACTGCTCCTTTCAGGGGGAGGAAAGGGGAGAGGGCTGAGCCTCCGCAACCTGCTGGTGACAGCAGTCCCACGTGTCCCCGGCTGTTCCCGACACCCGCTCACCTCCGTCTGGATCATGTTGATCCTCCGCGAGCACAGGGTCTTCACACAGTTGTAGATGTCCACAACGCCCTCGCACTCAGCCATGTCCAACATAACATCCAGGACGATGTAGCAGCCAGTTCTCCCCGTACCGGCGCTAGGGATGGAGGGGGAAAACACAGCGACCACATTCCCAGTCTGCACAGCATCCACACACAGCCCAAGACGCCAGCAGGCACGGAGCGAGGTCGGCGTGGGCAAGGGCTTAACATACAGCCCCTGCCCATGGATGTAGGGGCAGCCGGGGTCCAGGCAGGGCTGCCAGGACCTCGCACGCCTCCATAACCACAGTCCAGTTTTGCCTTAAGCCACCCTCCCCGCCCCCTGCCCAAACACACCACTACAGCGGCCCGGGGGCTGCAAGATGGTCAGGTGGCGGGTGGGAGGTTGGGCACCCACATCTAAGGTTCAATTTTGCTTTAAGACAGGGAAACACAGGTTTTTTGCAACAAAACCGGCAGCTAAACCATCTGAGTGCCAACAGTCCTCTGGGACCCCATCCCAAAAGGGCTGACGGAGGCAGCAGGAGAAAAGGATGCTCAGCATCAAGCCCTGAGAGTGCAGGGAGGTACCCCCAGCGCAGAGGGGGTCTGAATTCCCCCGGGGGGACCCTCGGGTTAAGGCTGAGCCCAGTAGGATGCCTGGAGCCAGATGACCCAGCAGCGGCAATATCCCAAATCCTGGCACGCTTGTACTCGCAGCAAAAGACCTACTGATGCAGCGACACCCCCCCCACCCCGGCAACACGTTGGGAACAGAACCGCTCCCCCTGCTCCTTTCCTACAAAGTCTTTTCCAGTGAAATACTAATTTCTGGGGCTGATGAATCACTCATCGTGATTATCAGTGATTACAGGCTACGGGCATTAATCACACTCGCTCTTGCCGGTGAATGAATACTGATGAGGCAATTGACAGGGAGAAATCAAATAAAAAAAAAAATCCCTCCCGCTCATCAGCTCCTCCTTGTTTGCCCAGCGGAGGAACAGCCATTAACCTGTCGCGTGGGGACGCCTGCTCAGGGGACAGAAAGCCACCGCTCCCGCCCTGCAGGTAACCCCGGGAATGGGGCTGTCCTGCTGTCCCTCCCCGCCTCTCCCTTCGGCCAGACCCAAAGTCCTGACCACCAGCAGCAGTCCAGCTGCCCATCGCCCTGTGCCACCCTTGCCCACGGGGACAGAGCTGCGTCATCAGTAACGTGTGCTGGGGCAGCCTCCAAAAAAGTGCTGCTCCCTGCTCACCCCCCTGGACCACCCGCAGTCGCCCTGCTGCCGCCAGCCCAGTGGTGACATTTTACAGCTGGATGCCATCGCAGAGGAACATCCAACCTCACGCTGCCAGCCCCGGTGCCTTCCCTGCCTTAGCCTTTCCTTGTTACGAACTCAATTTATACCTTTTATATTTCCCTGCTGAATATTTTAGTATCGTTCAGAGCTTTTAGCACCATTCGGAGCCAGAGGCTGAGCACCCACCTAAGACACAGCATTCTCCCCGCCAGGGCCATCCATACCCCAACCAAACCCCATCCCGGAGGGGGATGCTCCCCCGCAGCTGGCTCTGCCCCACAGCCACGCACATACCTGCAATGGATGACGATGGGGCCAGCGTCGGGCGGCGTGGACACCTTCACCCTGCGGATGAAGGCCAGCAGCCCTGTGGCGTGGTAGGGGACGCCATGCTCGGGCCATGACGTGAAGTGGAACTGCTTCACCTCATGCCGGGCCGAGTAGCCCCGCTGCAAGGGAAGGGTGAGATGGAGCGAGGGTGCAGAGGGCAAAGCCACCCAAACACCTAATTTTCTTGGGAATCCATGATTTTGCCAGCTCAGCATCCAGCCAGATGGACCACACAGCGGTCGACTGCTTTGACAGCCCCGCAGCTCCCTCCTCCTTGGCTGCAAGAGGGTTAAAAACCAGCCAAGGAGGAAGAGGAGGAGGCGGCAGCAGCCACGGGTCTAATACCACGAGCGTCTTTGTTACCTGCCCTATAACTAGACAGTAATTTCACATTCCTGTAGATTAAGGGGTAAATCGCACCGGCTCCATCCCCAGGTACCACGCTGGAGAGTAACGGCCACATAACCTGCACTCCAGCCCGGAGGAGAAAAAGCATCCTTCACCCCCGTTGCAATTACATAGTGCTCACACGGAAAATTAAATACTCGCTCACTGTGGAAACCAAAGCGGGGCTGAGCCGCTCGCCCCGGCAGAGGACACAGAGCCAGGGAAAAGGCAAAGGAAGAAGCTACCATCATCCCCAGGGCTCAGAGGCTGCACCTCAATCAGGGGTGAAAGCCCCACGTTGGGGTAAATAAATAGGGTACTGGTAAATGCCAATCTAGTGATGGTTAGAGAAGCCCAAGGCAGTCGGTTCTCTGCCTGAAAGGGCAGGGTCGGGCAGGTCGCGGCTGGCAGGAACAGCACCATACCCTCTCGAGAGCAAAGGTGCGGACGGCGTACTCGGCCAACGTCTCTGACTTCACCAGGGTGATCTTGATGTCCCCGTACATCTCGGAGTCATCTGGCCAGTATTTGGAGCATTTCACCTGCAAGGAGAGGACGGGATGGGGTTTTGGCTCTGCGGAAGAGGCTTCTGGCAGAGCTGGAGCCCAGAGGGAGAAGGATGGGATGGGGTCCTTACCCGGCCCACCTCCACCAGCTTGGTTATCATCACAATGCTGGAACAGTGCTCCTGCCACACCATGCGCCAGAAGTCGTACACCATCTCCTGCTTGGGCCCTGCAGGACGGAGGAAAGGCCACTGGGGATGGATGGGCAGCGCCAGCGGAGCCCAGCCACAGCAGCGCCGCGATGCCACCGCATTTCCCCTCTTGCCTCTGCGGCACTAACACCCCTGCAGCATTTTAAGCACCCTTTTCCCCCAGGGACACACGGTGCCATAGGGCGGCAGGAGGGGTAGGAGTTGCTCTGCATTGCTACCACCCCGTTTGGCCCCGAATCGGCCCATTCCCCCTCCCCTTCTTGCCCACGCAAGGTTAAATCCCACCAGGGACAAAACCCAGCTGCTATATCAGGAGCTGCTGAACCACTGACCGAGAGGGCAGGGGGAGGAGGCGGCGGCTCACCTTGTGTGGCTATGAAGTGGTTGGACCTGTGGTAGCCCTGCAAGGGAAGCAGAGACGTCAGTCCCAAGTTGGGGAGAACACTGGGACTCTCAAGAGCTGGGGCACAGCCCCGTAAAACACTTCCCAGTCACCCAAGTGGTGGCAACGCCCCACATCCACCGGGCCAGGTCCTGGCCACCGGTGCGGTGCTACCCCCCACTGCAAGAGGAGAAGGAGGAGGCTCAGCAGCCATCCTGCACCCGGTGCACCCTGTCCTGGGAGGGTGCGTGTCCCACACCCCATGAAGGGCTCATGTAATGCCCAATCCTCATCCCTGTTCTGCACCAAATTCCCCAGCAGCACCCCGCAGGCATCCCGGGGTCTGCCGGCTCTACCCCGGCTCCTGTGCCGCTGCCATTGCTGCCGAGCACGGCAATGCCCTCACGAGAGCCCTGTTAACGATATCCCATCCCGCAGCAGCCACACGGCACTGAGCAACGGCCCCGCTCCCCTCCTTCATCCCAGCCGCTTACTGGGACCACTCCCAACTCTTAACAGGGACGTGCCAGCCCACAGAGCACATCCCAGCAAGGCCACTGCCAAAGGGACCGGTGACCTGGTGTCCCACACCTCGGCCATGTGTCCAGCAGGGTTCAACCACGTCACATGCGTGGAGGTGATGGCAGCTTCTCCATCCACCATGGATCCTTTCACAGGGGATTTTTGTGGGTTGAATTCAGTCCCTCCTTGGAGCACACAGACCCTGCTCTCCATCACCCCAGGGAGGACGTGCCACGGAGACCTCGCTTTCCCCTTTCCTGGACCATACCCAAGTTTGTCCACACATTTTCCCAGCCTGCCTCTCCCAGATGCTATTTAATGCCACACTGCCCAGTACAACACCTGGGAGGAGATGGGAGCAGAGAGAAGGAGAGGGGAACCGTCTACTTACTTCTCGGTTAATCCGAATCTTAACGATCCCGTTGGGACACAGGTTTGAGAGAAAAAGATCAGACAGAGACATTAGTGAGGCACAGCTCAAGAGATAGGTTAGAGCACCGGCCCCGGAGCGGGTCATGGAGAGCCACAGGGGAGAAAAGACACACGGGGACAGGGGACAGGCATGAGGATACTGCTCGGGTACAGGGAACCCATCACGGTGGCATCAGGCCACCATTGTCAGAGGACATCCTCTGGAAAGGAAGGAAGAGTGGAATTTGCTGCTGCTTCCAGAAGATGCTCGAGTCCTGTGCCCAACGGAGCCTTCCTGCACCTCTCCTGGTCTCAGCATCGCTGGAGGCGACGGGGGACATCACTCTTGGGGGACATGGCTCTCAGGGTACACCAGGGCCAAGCTCTGCCCAGACTCACATGCACCGACAGGATCGGGGGTGTATTGGGTTTGCGTGGCAGGGTTTTAGTAGCGGGGGGCTTCTGTGAGAAGCTGCTAGAAGCTTCCCCCATGTCCCATAGA